GTCTGTATGTTTGCTTCATATAGAATGTCACACAGTGAAATAAAATATTACAAAGACTTTGTTCGTGGCTTCTTTCTTATAAAATACTGGTTCTGAATTAATTAATATTGTGACATGCTATCAGTTAGTTCACTGCTCTTACTTATTATTCCCTAGTAAAGATATATTGTAATTTGTTTTCCATTCACAAGCCAGTGTGTGCTGCTTCCAGTAAGAGGTTATTGGCCGCCGTTGCTGCCACCGCCGCTGCTGATGCCACCACCTTGTTCAGGTGTAGAATCTGGAATCCCTGCGCCTCACTAACAATGAAGCAGAGTTCGAATGTGCCGGCCTTCCTCAGCAAGCTGTGGACCCTGGTGGAGGAGACCCACACCAATGAGTTCATCACCTGGAGCCAGGATAGTCAGAGTTTTTTGGTTTTGGATGAACAAAGATTTGCAAAAGAAATCCTTCCCTAATACTTTAAGCACAATAACATGGCAAGTTCTGTGAGACAACTGAAAATGTATGGTTTTCGTAAAGTGGTATGTATTGACTCTGGAATTATAAAGCAAGAACGAGATGGTCCTGTTGAATTTCAACATCCATACTTCAAACAAGGCCAGGATGATTTGCTGGAGAATATTAAAAGAAAGGTTTCATCTTCTAAACCAGAAGAAAATAAAATTCGTCAAGAAGACTTAACAAAAATTATGAGTAGTGCTCAGAAAGTTCAAATAAAACGAGAAACTATTGAGTCCAGGCTTTCTGAATTAAAAAGTGAGAATGAATCTCTTTGGAAGGAGGTGTCAGAATTACGAGCAAAGCATGCACAACAGCAGCAAGTTATTCGAAAGATTGTCCAGTTTATTGTCATATTGGTTCAGAATAACCAACTTGTGAGTTTAAAACGTAAACGGCCTCTACTTCTGAATACTAACAGAGCTCAGAAGAAGAATCTCTTTCAGCACATAGTCAAAGAACCAGCGGATAATCACCATCATAAAGTTCCACACAGTAGGACTGAAAGTCTAAAAACAAGGGAGCGGATTTCAGATGACATCATTATATATGATGTTACTGATGATAATGCAGATGAAGAAAATATCCCAGTTATTCCAGAAACAAATGAAGATGTTATATCCGACCCTTCCAACTGTAGCCAGTACCCTGATATTGTCATTGTTGAAGATGATAATGAGGATGACTATGCACCCGTTATTCAAAGTGGAGATCCGTGCGAACCAGCCAGAGACTCCCTCAGTTCAGCCAGTGATGGCAGTAGCCCGTTCATGTCTAGTGCTGTGCAGCTCAATGGTTCATCCAGCCTGACCTCAGAAGTTCCTGTGAGCATGATGGACTCTATTTTGAACGATAACATCAACCTTTTGGGAAAGGTTGAACTGTTGGATTATCTTGACAGTATTGACTGCAGTTTAGAGGACTTCCAAGCTATGCTATCAGGAAGGCAATTTAGCATAGACCCAGATCTCCTGGTTGATCTTTTCACTAGTTCTGTGCAGATGAATCCCACAGATTACATCAATAATACAAAATCAGAATAAAGGAATAGAAACTAACAAGAACAATATAGTTCAGCCAGTTTCTGAAGAAGGAAGAAAATCTAAATCCAAAGCAGGAAAGGCAAAGTGTACATGAATGCTTGCTGATATGGTTCCAGCTTCATATGCATAGAAGAAAGAAGGGATGGGATGGAGTCAGCCCCATCCACTCAGTTGGATTAGTTTCAAGTAAAAATTTCTTGTTTGTTTGTGTTTTATTGAACCATACTGTTTAGTAAAATAAATATAATGAATGTTGAGTAAAAAAAAAAAAGAGAGGTTATTGTGAGAAAGCTGCTATGAACATTCATACACAAGTATTTTTTTGTGGACTTATGTTTTCATTTCCCTGGGATAAATATTTTCTTTTGCTCCTGATCTATTTCCTTTCTTTAAAGTTCAGCCTTTAAAAGATCTTGAAATAACTAATCTAGAAACTTCTTTTTTTTTTAAAATATGGACTACTTCACAAATTTGCATGTCATCCTTATGCAGGGGCCTCACTAATTGTCTCTGTATCCATCTAATTTTGGGGGTTTTTGTAATAATTTTTCATTGTGATTTTAATGAAAGTTTACAGAAAACGTGGATTTCCATTCATTCACTGTTGCATATTTTCCTCCCTACCACCCCCTAGTTCACTTTTCTCTTTAAAAAAAATCACTCACTATCCACCAGATGCTGTGCTGGAGAAGGAGGGGCAATCTCCTCCTGAACCAGTCAGATCTGATTTGATGGGACACAGACAAAAAAAGTAATAACATAAAAAAATTTTTTTAAAAATTCACTCACTGTTGCACAATCAACTTTTTTGTTTTTAATATGTGTGCTGCCAAAGTGAGTACATCTATATATTTCTTGCAGGAAAATTTTTATTATAAAAAAAGTCACTCTGTCAGTAATAGATTTCTGCACTCTTTTTTCAGTGATAACTTCCATGCTTTTACACTATCTTTTTATTGAGCAAAACATCTTTTACAGAAATATGAACACAATATATGCTACAACTTGGATTCATCTTGGTTATACACTGCCAAGTGTAATTAAACAGTCAGGAGAGGACATATATTGCATGATCTCACTCGGACGAAACATCTAAAAAATGCAAATACAATAAAAACAAAGGTCTTTTCTGTTTCCATGGCAGGAGTGAGTAGGAAGCAGTCACTGCTCAGGGGCCACTGAGTTTTTGTTAATACTGATAAAAAATTTGGAAATGTATAGTGGTAATGGTTACATGACATGAGGAATATAATTAATGCCAATGAAATTACACATTAAAAAAATAAGATGGAACGGCAAAATATTATTTTTTCTAATACACACTAGAAAAAAAATACCAGAAAAAAAATTCATACTAAAAAATTTTATTATTATTATAAGGTGTGTCTGATACAGGCCATGGTCTTTGCAATCACATGTTATGCGTCAGAGAGTTGGACAATGACTAGGGAGCATAGAAGGAGAACTAATGCCTTTTAGCTTTGGTGTTGGAGAAGAGTTTTGAGGGTATTACGGACTGCTAAGAAAACAAACATTCATCTTGAAGAGGGTTAAACTGGGCTGCTCCTTGGAGGCAAGGATTCTGAGGCTTTGTCTGACATACTTTGGGCATGTTGTAAAGAGGGACTGGTCCTTGGAGAAGGACATCATGCTTGGGAGGGTGGAGGGCAGGCGCTGGAGGGGAAGGCCCTCTGGGAGGTGCATTGATTCGGTGACTGGGATAATCAGGATGAGTGTGCCGGAGACAATGAGATTGGCACAGGACAGAACAGAGTTTAGGGCTGTTGTAACAGTGTCGCTATGAGTCGCAAGCGACTCGACGGCACTTAAAAACAACATCATTATTATTATTTTTATTATTATTATTATTATTATTACTATTATGTGCACCATCAAGGATCTGACTGGTACAGGAGGAGACTGTCCTTCCTCCAGCAGAGCATCTGGTGGATTTGAACCGTGCACCTCTGTGATTTCAGTGCAGCTTCTTGCCACCAGGCTACCAGAGCTCTCTTAGAAACAAATTATTTTGAAAATAACTGAACAGAAATTTTCTGAAGAAAAGTCTACAGTTAGATTTAAAAGTATCAAAGGTTTTGTCTAGAAAGAGAAGCTATGATTAGTAAAAACTAGGAACATAAAATTAGAAGACCCAATCCTTAATGAAGAAAAGTATTAAAACAAAAGAGCCCTCAGAGTATTCCTGACTTTACCATTAAATAAACAACTTTTAATAACTTTTTGTCTCTTATTTCATTTATTCCATAGACAAAATAAATGTTAAAAGGCTCCTGAGTAAATCTACCTAGAGAGTCAGTACAGGAGAGGAAGACCCTGCGTGAGATGGACTAACACAGTGACTGCGACAATAGGTGTGGTGAGTCAGAGATGGAGAGGTTGGCTCAGGATAGGGAAAGGAGCAGAGCCAGTGTTCAGAGAGTACCTATGGTTTGTAGTCAACTTGATGGCACATAACAACAACATATTATTTAAAAAGTTTTCTATCACTCTGAACTTACAAAAACAGTACATCTTTTTTTAATAAAAGGGGAATAATTTGAAAAAGGAAAATGAGAATAAATGGAAGACTTGAAAAATATAGTTAATGTCAGTGAATTGTACATAGAGAGAAACTGGTAAATTAGAGAATGCTCTGCCGTGGATAGATTAAAACAATAAAAAATAAAATTAGTTGTAAAAAACCAAATATGCAATAGATGAATGTACTCTTCCATGTCTTAGATAGTATAACCATAAAAGAAAAGAAAAAAAAATATATATATACACAAAACCAAACCCAAAGCCATTAAGTCCACTCTGACTCATGATAAGCCTCCATTGGCTTTCTCTAGCCATAATTATTTACAAAAGGAGACTGCCAATGTATCTTCTCTGGACCAGCTGGTGGTTTCAAACTGTAAATCTTTCAGATAATAGAGTTAGCACGTAACAGATTATGCCACCAGAGCTCCTTTATACATGCATACATTTGTGCATGCATATACATGTGCATGTGTGTGTCCATATGTATAAATACATATGCACACACATACATAAATCAAATGTAGCAAAAGACATATTATGAGTGTATCCAAGATTAAGTATAAACACTATGCTTTTTAGGCAACTCATAGCAACCCTATGAACAAAAGACCTGGCCACTTGTATAATTTTCATCCTTTCTCCAGGTTGATAGGGTTTCTCGAGGCAAGCTATTTCGGAAGTGGATGCCATTCCTGCTTCCAAGCTTGTTTTAATCCGGGAGCTCCACCAAACACTGTCCACCATGGGTAACCATTCTTGCATTTGACATATCAGTGTCACAGTTTTTATTTTGTATAAACTTACTTAAAAGTATTAATATGTTTAAACATATCTGTAAGTTTTAAAAAATGTCATAAGGTTTATATTCATTAGCTTGACACATATATCACATAATATGTATATATAACATACCTGTAAATTGTTTGTATTTTGAACTGATTTCTTTTTTTGCTTCCAAAGAGGCTGGCTGACCTAAAAAACATTGAAGTTTTTCTTGGAAAATCTGTGCTGGAGTCAAATTTAATGGTAGCTTCAGACCCTTTTTCTTGGACCTGAAATGACATCAAATTAAGGGAAATGAATCCAAGCTTTAGAAAAAACAGCAAAGATAAACACATTAAGAACTACACATGATTTTTTTTTAAATTTCAAGAAACAATGGAGTTTGTTTCATTTGTTGTATGTGTCACTGAGTTGACCATGATTCACAGTGACTCTATGCACCCAGCTCTGAATCCTACTCTATCCTGGGCAGTCTCACTGCCTCTGATACACCTACCCTCACTACCCAGTTTCTGTGTCAATTCATCTCATCTGGGGTGTTCCTCTCCTGCACTGTCTCTCAACTCTTCAAGCATGACATCTTTCTCCAAGGACAGGTCTCTCCTGGTAACATGCCCAAAGTATGTAAGACGGAGACTCAAAATCTTTTCCTCCAAATGCAGCTTGGTTTCACCCTCTCCAGGACATACCTGTTCTCCCGGCTGTCCATGGTTATGTTCAAAACTCTTCTCCAGCACCAAAATTCAAAGACATCAATTCTTCTTCTGTCATTTTTGGTCACTGTCCAGCTCTCTGATGCACAGCAAGTTATTGACAAGATCATGGCCTGAATCAGGCAGACCTTAGTCTCTAGACTGACAATGCTGTTCTTCAACACTCTGGAGAGGTACCTGACAGCAGATTTACCTAATTCAATTAGTCCTCTGATTTCTTGTCTGCTGGTACCAAGAATGTTGATTGTGGAACCTAGCAAGCTGAAATTGCAAAAATCTCAATCTCTTCTCTATCTATCATGGTGCTGTCAATTGGCCTAGTGGTGAGAATCTTAATTTTCTTTGTGTTTAGCTTCAATCCATAGTACAGTCCTTGACCATCTGCAAGCATCAGTCCCTCCTCAGTTTCAGCAAGCAAGGTTGTATCATCTGCATAATGCAGGTTGTTGATGAGTCTTCCTCCAATCTTGATGTCACATTCCTCCTTTTGCTCAGCCTCACTGTTACACATATAGGTTGAAAAGGTATGCATCCCTGACACACTGCTTTCATGATTTTGAAGCATGAAGTGTTTCCCTGCTCTGTTCTGACAAATACCTCCTAGTCCAAGTACAGCTTTCACATGACCACAATCAGGTGTTCTGGGATTCCCATTCTTCTCAAGGTTAGTCACAATTTGTTGTGATCCATGCCATCAACTATCTTTGTAAAGTCAATGAAAAACAGACAGACATTCCTCTGGTACTTTCTTGATTTTGGCCAATATCCATCTGGCAATGGCAATGATGATATCCCTAGTGCCGCAGCCTCTTCTAAACCCGGCTTGTATTTCTGGTAGTTCTCTGATGTACTTGTTCCAGTCTCAGCCTAAACATAAACCCTCACGATCTCTGTCATGCTCAAACCCTCTGCAGTAGTCACTATGCCAATCGACTATCACCATGACAGAGATCATGAGGAAGGTACAGGACAGGGCAGAGTTCCGATTTGCTCACAGGGTCTCTAGGAGTTGTAATCGACTCAATGACCCCTAATAACAACATTTTTGAAAGAAAAACTTCAATGAAAATTTAGAATTGAGGCCCTCCACAATTATAGTTATAATTCTTTCCCACTAATGCTATATATGTGTTCTGTACAAAAATTGCTAACCTTTTTACAGGATATATATTCTCAACCCAGAATTTATTGCCTCTACCTTTCTTCTTTTACTTATGCCTGGAATGGTCTCTATGCTGATAGCGACTCAATTTTTCAAGATCTTATCTACCCATCAACACTCATCTCAAATTATAACTCCTACCTAAAGTATTTATCTTTCCCAATCTGATAATTAATGCTCTCACCACTGTATCAGTGGTACTAGTCATACCACAATATACATTAATATTTTGTCCTTTGTTCTTTATTAAATTATCATTATCAGAGCCCTAAGTATAGAAACTATGTACCATTTAAGTTTATACCTACTACAATATCTGACAGAAAGCTTTATACAGAACAATTATTCAATCTATGAATATGAATTGAAAAATGTATTAAGAGTAAACAAAGCAATGCCATAATATGCAGAAAAAGTAGAACACAGAAATGTGCTTAATCAGTTTAAATTCAAATTATATTTAAGAAAGAAAAATAAATTTATCATAGACTATAAACATTTTTGGGGCATGTTTTAGGTGTGGTTTGGGGGGTTTTTTCTTGTTGTGTACATCAAATCAGATCCGACTGGCACCAGAGGTGATGGCTCCTCTTTCTCCAGAGGAGCATCTGATGGACTCGCACCATGTGCCTTCAGGATTGCAGTTCTGCTTCTTGCCACTAGCCCACCAGAGCTCCCTGGCTATAAACATTTTTAACATAACTCAGGAAGCTGCTGAGCTGTCCAACACAGCAGCCATGAGCTATTCTGGCTACTTAATCCCTAGCCTGTATGCATCACACTTCAAATACTCAGTGCACCAGTACAGAATACTGAAATTTTCTACTGGGCAAGCCTGAAGTAAGGATTCCACATACTATAAAAAAGAAATACTTCAGATCTAACTTTCATACTACTTTATAACTCAACTTTACCTAAAAGCACATACCTTGTAGAAGTGCTATCATGTTTATAAAACAGCTGGAGGGCCACACCTATTGAAACAGATGTCTTCCAGTCTCCAAGTCTATGTGCCAACCACACAGCCTCTGGAACCAGGCCACTAATAAACAGTAATTCCAGTGCATATTCCACTGTCCACACGTTAGACAGACTCTGCTCTCTAATAACACTGGCCACCTTAGAGTGTTGGAGAGGAATAAGTCGAAAAGATTGCTCTGTGAAGAAATGAAAGAAAATGAACATTACACTTAAACTTACATATCAGAACTCAGATTTGGAGTTATTAGAATGTCTCCTTAACATGGCTACTTTCATTTCTTCAATTCACCATTTAATATTTTCTATGCAAGCCATGATGAATAACATGAAGATTCATACAAAATTGCTTCTAAAAATAATACTTAACCTGTAATAATTTGTTGTTGTTTTTTAAACAATGAAGAATATATTTCATGAATGTGTCGGGAAACAAATGCCAAGATTTTTTAAAAATACAGAATATAGTATTTTTAAAAACAGACTGCATTATGCAAATAAATGTAAATAGTCTTTAGTGAAACTTCTGTGCCAGGTAACATGTACATACTAAGACAGACATTTATATGTGCTTATTTATAATGTAAAGGGCTTTGGTGGTGTAATGGTCAAGGCACTAGTAAGCAAATCAAAAGGCTGGTGGTCCAAACCTACTTACTGTTCCTTGGTTGAAAGATGTGGCAGTCCATTTCCATAGGATTTAAAACACACACACACACACACATACACAAATTCCAAAACAAACCAACTCAAATGTATTGCCACCAAGTGAGAACCAACTCCTGGCTAAGTCTCCACTGGGTTTTAGAGGCTTTAAATGGCCTTGCATAGACTGCCCACCTTTCTCCCTTGGAGACTTTGGTGTATTCCAATTGACATGGAGGCACAACCTTCAGGTTAGATGCACAACTCCCTGCAGACCACGAGCTCTGACCTCTCTCATAAGGATTTATGATAGAAGAAACCCTACAGGACAGTTCTACCCTGTCCTAATTCTGCTCTGGTCACAAAGAATACGAATCAACTCTACAGCAATGTAGTTTTGACTGTGTCACAATACACAATTTATTACTGTGGATTGCTCTGAAATATCAGTCTATTCGAGAACCTTCTGAAGAACACCAGCTGAGACAGAGTACCTTGCTCTGAAGTAGTCTAAGGTTGAAGACTGTCCTCCTCCCATCCCCACATCCAGACACAAACACAGAACAAGGGTTTGAAAATATAACTCAAAATCTAAGTTTCTATGATTGAAATACTTTCCTGATCACACCTTGCTGCCTGTATTAAATTTCTTTTTTAAAAAATTTTTATTGTATCATTTTTTATGTGTACCATTAAATCAGATCTGACTGGTACAGGAGGAGATTGCCCCCCCTTCTCCAGCAGAGCATCTGGTGGATTTGAACCGCATACCTCTGGGATTGCAGTGCAGCATCTTGACACTAGGCCACCAGAGCTCCCTTTAAATTTCTAATTAGGTTTACTTTACTACTCACTTACATGTTTTGTGTATCTACCTTGAACTATCCTAGCTCTATTAAAGACATTATTACACCAATATAGCAAAGAAAATTACCCAAATAAAATTGAATTTTAAATTAGCAGTCAAAATTTGTTAATTTTTCATATTTTTGCACATACAAAGGTGGCAACTCATTCACTTTTTTTGTTTTGTTTTATTTTAATAATTTTAATGAACATTTACAGAGATTTTTATTTCCCTCATTCATTGCTACACTCATCTCATTCACTTTAATTACAATGTTATAAAAATAAACTTGTCCAAAATATGTGACAAAAATATGTGTATGCAATAAAAAATAAATCCAAGCAATTCTCTCTTTCAGATTATATTAATTCAGATAGTCACTGAGCACATCTGATTGTGTCAGGTACTAAGTTACAGTAGTATTACTTTCACAGGATAATACATCACTGCAATAATAAATAATATCATTTTAAATATCACGTGCAAAAGCAATAGTGAAAAATCTATTAGTTTACAAATTACCTGTTTTAATATGAAGTGGGGGAAGAACGTTCACACTGTGAGGTGGCACAATGCACAGCAGCTGGTTGGTAAAATAGGCAGCCATAAACCGGGCCATGGACTGGATAACCCTCACAGCCGCCTCGGGATGAGCTCTTCCAATCCTTCCAATCGTGCAGAGAGATTTCTCCGGAACTAAGAATACAAAACAAATGTCCAAAAGATATTCTGATTAACGATTAAAAAGTAATATTTCCTTTCCCAACATTAGTGAGGGGGAAAGAATATACTTATGTATTTTATAAAATCAACAAGTCAAATTATAATCTATACTTCTTTTTACTTTTTTATTTTATACTGGTTTACTTACAAAGTTTGTATACATTGCTTTTCACACCAGATTATTCCCATTTCCTTAACAGACCCCTTCCTCATCAAACTGTGTGACCTTATAATTACCCGTCCCACCCCACCCATCCTCACCCCTCTGCTCCCACCCTCCCCCCTTTAGATCTTCAGACACATTTTACTAGTTATCTATTTCTACAACAATGGTCTTACGCAGTATTTGTCCTTGTGGGACTGAGTTAGTTCACTTAGCATAATGCTCTCCAGTCTCTCCCAAGTTAGGTAGTTATTTACAAAGGGAAAAGAAAACCTACAGATAGGGGGAAAAACATTTGGCAATACCATTTCAGAAAAAGTTTACAGAATCCTACCGGACCTCTACAAGAAAAAGACTTATGACACAATTATAAAACGGCAAAAGACATGGAAAGAATTTTCACAGAGGAAGATATTTGGATGGCCAGAAATGCTCAAAATTACTGGCCATGAGAGATGTAAATCAAAACCAAAATGCAGTGGCAAAGTTTAACAGTACAGCAGGTAATAAGTGTTGGAGAGGATGTGGTGAGATAGGAACTCTTATACACTGCTGGATATAAATACACTTATACACTGGTGCTTATACAACCACTCTGGAAGGCAGTTTGGCATTTCCTCAGAAAGCTTAACATAGAAATTCCATATGACCCAGCTATTCCACTACTTGAAATATATCCCAAGAAAATGAAAATTGAGGCACAAATGGAGACTTGTACACCAACAGCATTATTCACCATCACAAGAACATGGAAACAGCCCAAATGTCCAACCACAATCGAATGGATTGAGAAATTATGGTACATTCACATGATGGAATATTACCTAGCACATAGTTACCTACACTTCTTGAAGATAGTAAGAAGCTCCCCCAAAATTAGTGCTCACAAAAGTTAGGATAACAGGTCTAACTGCTATTCTTTGAAAGACCTAGTTACAGACTTTGGTTGACATCTGGGAACTTGGATTTCAAGAAGCTCCCAACACCCTAACTTCTACTAGTGGCCCATTAACTTAAACTGTACAATTTATTTCCTGCTGAACATCTGCTTTTCTTTTGGAGGACAGAACTACAGACCATGGTCGGCAGAAAGGGCCTAATGGAGGGCTCCAAGTAAAAAACGTAAACACTGAGGCTCTAATTAGGTGCCTTGGTACATAAACGTCACACATTCTCTCAGGCCTTGCTGGAGGAATTAAGCACAGGACAAAAGCTTCAGTGTCGAGCACTCTAGGAGCCGACACCCAGTTTCCCAGATTTTTCCCTATGCACCTTATCCCTTGGCAGATTTTACTCTATAGCTTTCTCTGTAATAAATCACAACTATGAAGACCACTGTTACCTGGACCCTGTTAGTCCTCATCACAAAAAGGATATGTCTAATACGTTGTTGTCATTGCTATTATGTGCTATCGAATAGCTTGTGACTCACAGCAACCCTATGTACATTAGCTTTGAACCCTGCTCTATATTGAGCCAATCTCATGGTCTCCAACAGAACTAATCCCATTTCTCCAGTCACTGAGCCAGTCCATCTCATTCGGAGTCTTCCTCCTCTACTGCACTGTCCCGCCAGCCTTCCAAGCATAATGTCCTTCCCCACAGTCTTGTCCTTCTTGGCTATGGTCCCCAAGTATGTGAGATGGAGCTTCAAAACCCTTGCCTCCAGGGAGCAGCTTGGTTTCACCCTCTCCGGGACAGACCTGTTTGTTCTCCTGGCAATCCATGGTATGTTAAATACTCTTCTCCAGAACCACAATTTAAAAGCATCGATTCTTCTACAGTACTTAGTCACTGTCCAAGTTTCAGATGCACTGCAAGTAATTGTGAAGACCATGGCCTAGATCAAGCGCACCTTGGTCTCCAGAATGATATCGCTCCTTTTCAGTACTCTGGAAAGGTCCCCGACAGCATATTTTCCCAATGCAATTAAGTCTTCGGTTTCCTGACTGCTGGTGCCAAGAGAGGTTGACTGTGGAACCAAACAAACTGAAGTTATCAACAATCTCAATTTCTTCTCTGTCAATCATGAAGCTGCCAATTGGCCCAGTGGTGAGAATCTTTGTTTTCTTGATATTGAGCTTCAATCTATATTGAAGACTACAGTCCTTGACTTTCTGGAGCAAATGCCTCATGTTCTCCTCAGTTTCAGCAAGTAAGGTTGGGTCATCTGCTTAACACAAGCTGTTGATTACTCCTCCAAACCTGATGCCATATTCTTCCTCATCAAGTCCAGCATTCCAAATGATCTGTTCTGCATACAGATTAAAAAGGTATGAAGATAGGATGCATCCCTGATGCACACCTTTCCTGATCCTGAACCATGCAGTATTTCCCTACTCTGTTCTGACTACTGCTTCCTGGTCCAAGTATAGGTTTCTCATGAGCACAATCAAATATTCTGGGTTCCCCATTTTTCTCAAAGTTAGTCACAATTTATTGTGATCCACAGTCAAATGCCTTTGCACAGTCAATGAAACACAGATAGACATTCCTCTGGTACTCTCTGCTTTCAGTAAGATCCATCTAACACTGGCTATGATGTTTTTAATGCCACAGCCTCTTCTGAACCCAGCCTGCACAGCTGGCAGTTCTCTGCTGATGTTACTGTTCCAGTTGTTTCTAGATAATCTTCAGCAGGATCTTGCTTGCGTGTGATATTAGCGAGATAGTTCAATAATGTCTACAATCTGTTGGATCACCCTTTTTTTGGACTGGGAATAAATTTCAGGTAGTTGTCCTCCAGATTTCTTGGTATATGTGGTGAGCACATCCAGGGCAACAACTGTTTGCTGAAATAATATCAACTGGTATTCCATCAATTCCTGGGGCTTTGTTTTTTCCAATTCCTTCAGAGCAGCTTAAACTTCCTCCTTCATCACCATAGACTCCTGATCATATGTTGTTTCATGAAATTCTTCTGTGTCACCAAATTCTTTTTGGTATAGTGCCTCTGTGTACTCCTTTCATCTTCTTTTGATGCTTCCTGGATCACTCAACATTCCCCTTCAGTATCCTTAAGTACTGCAATTGAGGCTTGAATTTGTTCTTCAGTTTCTTCAGCTTAAGAAATGATAAATGAGTTCATTCCCTTTGATTTTCTGACTCCAGCTCCTTGCATTTCTTTGTAATACTTTGCTGTCTTCCCATGCTGCCTATCTGAAATATTCTGTTCAGCTTCTTAATGTCCTGAATTCTTCCCTTTGCTTTGGCTTCTCGGCATTGTAGTGCAATAGTCAGAGTTTCTTCTGACATCCATCTTGGTCTTTTCTTTCTCCTCTGTCCTTGCAGTGATGTTTTGCATTCTTGATGGAGATATTCTTTATAGCCTCCCACATCTCATCTTGTCTTTGCTCATTAGTTCTCAAGGTTTCAAACTTGGTCCTGAGATGGTCTTTAAATTCTGGTGGGATAGACTCAAAGCCAAATTTAAGTTATTGTGGATTTAATTTTATTTTCTTTAGCTTCAGTTTGAACTTGTATATGAGTAGTTGATGGTCTGTTCTACAATCAGTACCTAGCCTAGTTTTCACAGCTGATACTGAGCTTCTCCAGTGATTTATTCCACAAATGTAATCAATCTGATTCCTGTGAAGACCATCAGGTGAAGTCCATGTGTATAGTCGCCGTTTGCAACAATCACTGATTGTACAGAATTCTATCATTCTGTCACCCAAGTCCATACTTTCATTACCGATCCTTCTTCCATTTCTAACTTTTGCATTCCAATCACTCATTATCATCAAAGGGTCTTGGTTACAACTTGATTTCCAACTGAAAAGTTAATAGAAATCATCTATTTCCTCCTCTTTGGCCCTGGTTTTTGGTGCATATTAACAGGTGTTCTTTGTATTCATATGGGTATCATCCTGGCACTCATCACATTGTATTTCAAGATGGATACAGAAATGGTCTTTTTAACTATCAAAGTGACTCCATTACAATTGTTATTACAAGTTTACCTGTATCATAGTAGTATTTAAAACTGCTGCTGTTGTTGTTATATGCCGTCGAGTCACCCGCAACTCATAGTGACCCTACATACAACAGTCCTACACCCGACTCTGTTCTGTGCCAGTCTCACTGTTTCCGACACACCTACCCCACTACTCCAGTCACTGAATCAAGCCACCTCATAGAGGATATTCCTCTCCTGTGCTGTCTCCTCTACCCTCCCAAGCATGACATCCCTCTCCAAGGACAGGTCCCTCCTTGAAACATGTCCAAAGTATGTCAGACAAAGCTTCAGAATCCTTGCCTCCAAGGAGGAGCCTGGCTTAACCCTCTCCAGGATGAACCTGTTCATTTTCTTAGCAGTCATGCTATATTCAATACTCTTCTCCAGCACCACAGCTCAAAAGCATCAATTCTCCTTCTATCCTCCCTCGTCATTGTCCAGCTCTCTGATGCATAGCAAGTGATTGCAAAGACCATGGCCTGAATCAGGAGCCCCTTAGTCTCCAGAGTGACACAACTGCTCTTCAATAGTTTGGAGAGGTCCCTAACAGCTGACTTTCTCATCCCAATGCATCTTTTAATTTCCTGGCTGCTGGTGCCAACAGTATTTAAAATAACAATCAAAAATGTGCAATCTAAATGTGCAATGGGAAAATGTTATTAAAAAATACCAATACTAGTAAATTCTTAACATAGCATTGTTACTGTTGTTGTGTACCATCAAGTCAGAACCAATCCATATATGACGCTCTGGTAAGTTTTCAGAGGCAGTTAATCACACGGCAGGAGACTGCCCATCTTTCTCCCATGAAGCAGTTAGTGAACTCAAACTATGCCTCCGAAATTTCAGAGCAGCTTCTTGCCACTAGAGCTTCCAAACGTAGCAGTAAATTTCAAAATATTAAAAAACAATGTATAGCTGATAATGTAGGTAGATATATGCAGTGGTAATAAGATAAAAAAGATGTAGAATTATAAATGGTTTCATTTTCTTCTTTATAATTTTTCTATTTCTGCCTAAAATGAGCATACATAACTTTCATAATGAACACTATTTTGAAAGATAAAATCAGAGAGCAAGAAATTTATAAACGTGGCTGAAACCTACTGATAAAGTTGACATGGATTAAATTTAGAAAATTCGGATACATCAGACTTTCCAAACATAATCACATGTCTAAGTCTGTTGCTGTTACGTGCTATCCAGTCAAATCAACTCACTGAGACCTCATGAACAGCAGACGAGAATCCTGTCCTATCCTGTGCCAGCCTCACCATGTCAGATACACTTGAGCCCACCCACTGTAGCAGTCACCGTGTCAATCCATCTTATTAGCAGTCTTCATCTCTTTCACTGAATCTCCACCATTCGAAGCATGCTATTCTTTTCCAAGGAATAGCCTTTCCTAGCAATATGTCCAAAGTATGAGAGACAAAGCTTTGCCATCATTGCTTCCAAGGTGCACTCCAGCCACACCTTTTCTAAGACATACCTATTCATTCTTTTGGCAGTTCTTGGGATATTCAGTAATTTTCTCCAACACAACAACTCAAAGGCATCAATTCTTCTTCTGTCACCCTCAGTCACTGTCCAGCTCTCTGATGCATAGTTGTTGTTGTTGTTATGTGCCGTCGAGTCGTTTGTGACTCATAGCGACCCTATGTACAACAGCCGTAAACCCTGCTCGATCCTGTGCCAGTCGCACTGCCTCTGACACACCCATCCCGATTACCCCAGTCACTGAATCAATCCATCTCATAGAGGGTCAGCAGTTGATGTGTTTGGAATCACAGAAGCCAAGAAAGCTTCAGATACAAGCTGTCAGATCATGGGTTGGACAATGGAAGATAATTTCTGAAGGAATCTGGTAGAAATGAAGGGGTATCCTGGTGGAGGGTGGAGCTGGGAAATAAGTGGGTCAAAGCCTTGGGCTAAGGGCAGGGTCAACACTGTAACTAATGGTCAACTCCACAATGAGGGATTTATCTTTCTGATGCATAGTAAGGAACTGAAAGACCATGGCCCGTATCGGGCTCACCTTAGTCTTCAAATCAACACCATTGCTCTTTGGTATTTTGGAGAAGTTCCTGACGGTTACTGCATAAAACCTGTAATTATACCTTAGAGGTGCCACAGGTGTCTGTCTAGAAATTTCTTCCTCTCTTATTACTTTGTTTAAATACATCTGGTGGCCTGTAAAAAATTATGCTGCAATCCTGAAGGCATATGGTTTGAATCCACCAGATGCTCTGAAGAAGAAGGATGGGAAATCTCCTGTGCAATTAACTGCCTCAAAACCCACTGGAGCATCAGCTTATTAGTCGGTTCTGACTTGACAACACCCCACAACAACAACAAAGAAAAGGAGGGAGGACAAAGGAGAAAATGGAGATACTCTGCAGTTTTTAAACAGAAAAAACCCCTCAGAATAACTCAGAAAGTGGTTTTCACCCATCACTCAATGATTTTAAATGACAGTTAAGTAAAACATATATTAAGTAAAAATACGTGGGTTTAACTAATACAATCAAAAGAAAATGACCTTGTATGCTCTGTAGGCAAGTAACACTAAAGCTCTGGGGATTTAAAGATAAGGAACATATGTCCTGTTATTGAAAGCTGACAGTCCCATATCCAACATAATATAAACTCAGTTACCACAAAACAGAATCACCACCTCTACAGAATGCAAGTGAACAAGATTAAATATACTTCTTTGTAAAAAGCATACCTGAACAATCTCCGTTTCCTGTCACAGGTAGGTGGGACCATCTCAGCAGTTCTCTCACCAGCTGATCACACAAACCCTGGGCATCATTCAAATTATAGTTATAGAGGTGGCAGTATAAGAGAGAAAGGTAATAGCGTATCTGAAGAAAGCATGTCCTTCTCCCTCCTTCAACAGAAAAGAATTACATTTACATTAAAAACATAGCAAGGTAACCATCACAATCTTGGGGATAGTTAGGTGCAAGTATTCAACATATGGAAAGCCACCAAGCTGTGTACACTAGTAATATGTGTGTATTTCACACAAAATAAATGATTTTTTAAAACAGCTCAGCATTTTTTTACTCCTTATCATCTTAGATTCTGGGCAATTTTATTTTGAAATGGCAAAAGGATGACTAAGATTTAATCTAAAGAGAAATGCAAATCCTTACAATCTCAAGACTAAGATACAGAACAACTTCAATCACACACACACACACACACACACACACACACAGTACAGTATGAAACAAAGGGAAGGGAGGATGCTACAAAACTCCTAAGGAACCACACACTCGTTATCAGACATGCACAAGGAGACTTCCTGAAAGAGAACTACTCAAAAGGAAGGAAGCCTGAGTTCAAGGAGCTGAAGGCCACTGAGGACAGACAGTGCAGGTTTTCTATCCCTCAATCATTCTTCCTGAGGAAAAAAACTCAAGGTTTATCTGAAAATGCAACTCACTCAGGTCAAAAACAAAATTTTCAGACAGAAGTGGCCATGTAAAAAATGGATTCATATTCTGTACCAGAATACTGTAAGAACTTCCAGAAAGCTGTGTAAAGAGGGGTAACTCAGTTGGCAGATACATCTTTACTTGCCGTCCCACCCTTCCATCTGGATGCTGCCTAAAATAAGAATGTGACAGCTGGAGCTCTAGCAGCCTTGAAGCACATATAATGACCTTAAGACTGGAAGCAGTGAACTAAGGACGAGGACGAAAAATGAGCTTGCATCCTTGGTAATGCTATCTATAAACATGCACTGTCACTGAGTTGAAACCAAGTCAGAGCTGACCCTTCACTGGCTTTTCAAGGCTGTAAACTACATAGGAGGAGGTTGCCAATTTTTATGCCTATGAGCCACAGGTGGATTCAATCTGCCAGAGAGGCTTAACCTGTGGGTTAGCAGTGCAACTCTCTATCGAGTACAGCACTAGAGCTCTGTCAGAGCTTCCATGATGCCCTGAAAAATCAGGCCGGGATTTTCAAAGTCGCACTCTTTACACACACACACACACACACACACACACACACACACACACACACTAACTAAACCCCTTTCTAACTAGACGTCATTCCCAAAGGATATGGTCAGAAATGTCATTAAAATTAATGCCCACAATGGTGCTCATTATAAAAACCTTTCTTCAACTAGAACTTCCTCACTCACTGAATGCCACTTGTATTCACCCAGCTGCAGATTCACCAACCTTACAACCCTATTAGACTTCTTTCTCCTTATCTATTTGGTCACAAGTCCAAATGATCAAGCTTATTAAACATCTGTCAAAAGTGGTCTGTTTTTCTCTATTCTTGATATTGCTTAGTAAGGAGGCTTCCTCAAAGAACTATTTTCCTTGCTTTTACCTGAAACCCAGATCACCACACCTCAACTCCTGAAAACCATAATCCAAGTGAGCCAGAATGAGCTCTTTAAAAGGCCTATATTTAAACAGGCACCTTTCCCACAGAAAACATCTTAACTGATATCAGTGCCTTCCCGACAAAATATTTTTTTTTCTCTTATTTAGTTGAGAGTTTACAAAGCACATGGGGTTTTCATGCAAATACATTTTTTTATTAATTTTAATGAACATTTACAGATTTTGGATTTCCATGTTGCACTATTCTCCCTGCCCTAATCTTTTAACTTCTCAACACTGTATGCAAATGAGACCTTCCTTCATTTTCTGGTCCCTATCTACCTCCCTAGCCTTATCTCTTACCACTCAATTCCTATTAAACTATCTGCAGCTTATCAAATGAGATTTTTTTATGCCTTTTTGCCTCTGGAATACTGCTTCCTCTATGTAAACCATTTCACTACTTTTTTTTCCTTGTTGTGTATCATCAAATTGGAGCTGACTGGCACAGGAGGAGATTGCCCCTCCTGCTTCAGCAGAGCATCTGGCGGAGAAGGAGGATTAGAACCTCACTCCTTTGCAATTGCAGTGCACCTTTTGCCATTAGGCCACCAAAGCTCCCCCGTTTCACTGCTTTAAATGGCCAATCTCTACTTCATTTTAATGCCAGCTTTTCAGGTAGTTTTCCTGCAGACAGATGCTTATTATTGTCTCACAGGGGATGAGCACTCTTCTATGCTCCCCTAGTATCTAACCATATAATTAGAATAGTGCTGGCTTCCATAATCTCTCTTTCCCTTCCAAACTGTCAACAACTTGAGGATAAAGTTGTTTTATTTCAGTTATTGTCAGTGCTTGACTCAGTTCTAGACATACTGCTGTCATTTTATTAGGTGCCAGGGAGTCAGAAATAAATGCTGTCCAGTCTCATACCATCCTCAAAATCATTGCTTTTTTAAAAAAAAAATTGCTTTTTTGAGGGTAAGTCACATCTCCCCACAAAAACTCCATGGAGTCTATATTTAATGCAACAGGAAATTCTTAAAGATGGTAACTTTAAATGATAAAATGGATAACTTCTAAGCCTCTAAGGATTGTTGTTATGTGCTGTTAAGTTGCCTGAGACTCATAGCAGCACTACATACAGCAGCTCTGAAGTCTGTCCTGTCCTGAGCCCGTCTCACTAATTTTAACACAGCTACCCACACTGTCCCAGTTCCCAGTTACTATAGCAATCCACTTCGTCTGGGGTCTTCCTCTCCTGTGCTGTCCCTCCATGCTTCCGAGCATGATGTCTTTATCCAAGGACTGGACCTTCCTGGCCACATGCCCAAAGTATGTGAGACAGAGCTTCAAAATCCTAGCCTCCAAGGAGAAACTTGATTTCACCCTTTCCAAGATAGACCTATTTGTTTTCTTGGTGGTCCATGGTATGTTCAAGACTCTTCTCCTGCACCACAACTCAATTGATTATTCTTCTGTCATCCTGCATAGCAAGTAAATGCAAAGACCATGGCCTGAATTAGGTACACCTTAGTCTCTAGACTGACATCATTGCTTCTCAGTAGTCTGGAGAGATCCCTAACAGCAGATTTACCTAATGTAATTCACCTTTTTTTTTTCTATAATTATATTTTATTAATTTTCATAAACATTTACAGAGATTTTGGGCTTCCACTCATTCATTGTTGCACTATTCTCTCTACCCTCCTCCCAGTTTGTTCTTGTCCAAATGCCACAGTGCTTGTCAAAGCCAGTTCTGATTAATCTTCTTTGTCAGTGTATCCTTTGCCATTCCCTATCACTCCTCCCTGAGAGAGACTTCACCCTGAGTCATAAGGAAAAGGGGATGGCGTATTCTCTTAGCTACTTCCTGCTGAAAAGGGACGCTGTGGGTTTCAGGGTGAAGATCTTCTCTCACTACTCTAAAGGGATGTAATTCACCTTTTGACTTCCTTGCTGCTGGTGCCAAAAATGCCGATGGTGAATCCAAGCAAACTGAAACTGTGAACAAGATGAATCTCTTCTCCATCTATCACGGTGCTGCCAACTGGCCCAATGGTTAGAATCTTTCTTGATGCTAAGTTTCCGTTCATATTGAAGACTACAGTCCTTGACCTTCTGCAGCAAGTGCTTCAGGTCCTCTTCCGTTTCAGCAATCAAGGTTATGTCCTCTGCAAAATGTATGTTGATGAGTCTTCCTCTAACCCTGATGCCATACTTCTCATAGAGCCCAGCCTCTCGAACAATCTGTTCTACATATCTATTGAAAAGGTATGGAGAAAGGATGATCCCTGATGCACATCCTTCCTGATTTTGAACCACGCAGTTTCCCTGCTCTATTCTGAGGACTGCTTCCAGGTCCAACTACAAGTTTTACATAAGCACAACTGAGTGTTCTGGGATTCCCATTCTCCTCAAGGTTAACCACAATTTGTTGTGACTGACAGAGTCAAACGTCTTTGCACTATCAATAAAACAGATAGATAGTCCTCTGGTACTCTTTGGATTCTAAGGATTAATCAAATATAAAAATATTGGATCTGTTCTTTCTCCTTTTTATTTTTTAGTCCTTCTAAACAAATTAAAACACACACACACACACACAAACCCAAACACACAAAACACCACACTCACAACCATCCTTTCATTTCTGACCTTAATGTCATTCCATCCCCCCCTCAACAATAAACCATAGGTTCTATCACTAACCAAAAAAGGGCAGAGATGCCTTACCTACAGATAACTGAAACAACTCCTGGGCTAAAAATTCCAAGACCAAGAATATTTTCATATTGATGTTTCCTGTTAGTCAAACCTAACCAAATTCACTGCCACTGGGTTAATTCCAACAGAGAGCAAGCCTCTACTAGGCTTCCACAGCAATGTTGCTTTATGACCTATCTCATAGTTTACCACAGAGAGTGGTTGGTGGATTTGAAGCAATGATCTTTTAAGTCAGAAGTTGGAAACATAATATTGCTACATCATCAGGGCTGCTTTCAAGGTGCCTATAACATTAAGTTTTGGAGAAGGTGCAGCTGGAGTGCTCTTTGGAGGCAAGAATGATAAGCCTTTGCCTCACATACTTAGGGCATGTTAGTCAGAGGAGCTATTCCTTGGAGAGGGACATGATGCCAGGAAAAGTGGAGGGTCGGCAAAGGAAAGAAAGATCTTCAGCCAGGTGGATTGATACAGTGACTGGTGCAATGGGTACTTGTGTGTCAGGAAGTGTGAGGATGGCAGAGGATAGAACAGGGTTCAGATCTTTTGTTCATAGGGTCACTATGAGTCGTACTCAACTTGATGGCACTTAGCAACAACAACAACATTAAGTCTATCTGAGCATTAAGAAGTCATGAATACACAGAAATTTGAAATTATTTTAAAGTCAATGATGTTATTAGATGCTATCAAGTCAATCACAACATTCACAATGATCGCACGAACAACAGATCTGAACCCTGTACCATCCCCACAATCTCTGTCACGCTCAAGTGCATTGTAGTAGCCCCTGTGTCAACCTATGCCACTGAGGGTCTTCCTCTTCTTCAGAACCGCTACCTGCATGACGTCTCTCTTTAAGGACTGGTTCTTCCTGGTAACATGACCAACATAAATGAGACAACTTTCCCTATCCTTGCCTCTGAGGAGCACTCTGGTTAATTCCTTTAGGACAGACATTTGATCCTTTAGCAACTCATGGCATATTCAATACTCCATCAACACCACAATTCAAAATGACTTATGTACTGCTTAAACTGGATAACCCACTAAAAGATTTTCCTTCCAATATCATGGCAAGTATAATTTTTAATCAACCCTACCTTTCTCTGAAGTTTCTTCTAGAGCGTTCTTCCATAGTTGAATAGATTTTTCATATGCTCCTAAGAGAAAAAACTCTTCACCTAAAAATTTTTAATCAACAGTCATAATTAATTACATAACTTAATAAAAATTGACTTTGTTTTCAAGCTCAATTGATACTTCTTAGCAAGAAATTATTTAGATAAGCACGTAATTGTACCCAATTAATAAAATCAAAGTCCAGTTCACTATTAGGCCTATTAAGGAATTAGAAGTTGTGTAACAGATACTGACCGTTTACAGATTTCAGTTCTAAGGTCTGGTTCAAGTCATCTCCAGCAGCTTGTATATTAGCCTGTATATGACATAACAGGGACTTGACAGTAGATACTTCCTGGGTCACCTTTTCCATGAGCAGTTGGTCACTTTTAAGAACTCTCTGGCTTAACTGTGCTTGATACCATAACGTCTTTCTGTATAGTACTCTCCATAGAATAACCAATCTGCACACACAATTAAGTCATCATCAAAAGCAAATTTCAGATTAAGGATGAAGAGAACTCCTTCTTGGACTTTTTTGCCCCATTTATTCACCAATCAATACAGGCAAACTGACCAGTCCTCAATATAAAGTCCAATTATTAAAATAAGTACAATATATATTTTAAATTTTTAAGTAAATGTTTCTTATGTACACCTATGTTTATTTCTGCATTGTTCACAATAGCAAAGAGATGGAAACCAAAGTGCCCATCAACAAATGAATGGATAGAGAAGCTCTGGTATATTCACATAATGGAATACTGCGCTGCACTGAAAAACAAGCAACTCATGCAATATTATTCAGAATGGGTGACCCTGGAGGACATTATGCTGAGTGAAGTATCTCAGTCACAGAAGGACAAATACTGCATAATGTCACTGTTATAAAACAGGATTGAATGGGGGTTGGGGGAAAACTAAGAAAAAAGATAAATAATGTGTACTGCATTTAAACAGATGAGGGAAAGAACTGTTTAAAAGGTATATATGATTAGGTATTATCTGCATGACAACAATCCAGAATGAAAGCTGCATAGTAGAGTGGACTGGGGGCGGGGGAGGGGGTTGAATTGTGCAACAATGAAAGAATTTTTTTTCAAAGAGAAAAGTGAACTGAGGGGGGTGGGTAGGGAGGTAAATGTGCAAGAATGAATGAATAAAAATGAAAACAAACCCCATTTTTAAAAATCTTTTTTTGGTAACTGTGACCATTTTCTTACTGCATAACTGTAAATCAAAATAGTAACTGTCCAAGTTGCCTAAACAAGTGTCTTACATAGCATTTTAAATACTAATTTTTTTTTAATAATTTTATTGTGTTTTGTGTGTGTACCGTCAAATCAGATTTGACTGGCCCAGGAGATTGCTCTTCTACAGCAGAGCATCTGGTGGATCTGAATACTAGAATATTAAAAAAAAAAAAATCTATAAAGCTGAGTGCTGATGGATACAGTTTCCTTTGAGGTAACAAAAAATATTCTGGAATTAGATAATAGTAAGAGTTGCTCAACCTTGTGAATATACTGTTGTTGTTGTTATGTGCCATCGAGTTGTTTGCAACCCATAGCAACCCTATGTACAAGATCCCTAAACGTCGTTCTAGAAACCCTGTACATATTAAACTAGTAAATTTTTTAAAATTTATTTTATTATTTGTTGTATGTCCCGTCAAATTGGATCTGACTGGTACAGGAGGAGATTGCATCTCCTTCTCCAGCAGAACACCTGGTGGATTTGAACTGTGTACTTCTGGGATTGCAGTGAAGCTTCTTGCCAGTAGGCCACCAGAGCTCTAAACTAGTAAATTTTACAGTATGTGAATAATAATCTAATTTTGCAAAAAGGAAAACTATAAGGTTGATAGTATCCTAATATTGAAGAAAGTCACCATACCTGTGGCCTGGTTGATGAACAAGATTTACTATTTGAGGCTGTATCTTCAAAGATGACTTCCAAGACCACTTTTTCTGAGAACCATAGTTTTGAAATATTTGAAAAAGCGGTACGACCAGTGAGTTTTGATTTGCTATTCTACTTCCATCAGTTGATGCAGAAATCATCTCTGGTTGAAGGTGATAAATGCCATTTAAACTGGAAGCTACCATTTTGAGCAAATAAAAACAGGCCAAAAGCTTCTCTGAGAATAACTGATCCTGCTGTTGCTGAATCAACAGAAGTTTTATAGTGTGGGAAGTCAGTTTTACCAAATGTCCCAGATCCTGTTTGTATCTCGTATCCCAATACTGGACTGACAAACATTGATGGAAAAGTTGAAAGATACAAAGCATCCACGCATTGTTCCTTGAGCTCTTGCCTAAACATGTATCTAGTTCAGGGAAAGGACATTTTACAAACTGAAGAATGTAGAAAAAATGAGTGATACAAACTACTGTGTAATTTAACATTACATTTTTTTCCATCACGTTTTTTGAAATTCCTATACTCCAGGCTGCAAGAAGATTTTTCTGGATAGAACGTAGTTCTGAAATGGTCTGATCCATCTCCTCGCTGTCATCTTTCGCATGTATTGTGTCAAACATAGATGCAAATTCCAATCTCCCCTCCTTGATGCTACTAAATAGCGGATCATTTTTTGAATTCTGAAAAGGGAAGGAGTTGTTGGTGATGTGTTCGCTTTCATGAGGTTCTTCTGCATCAAAATCCTGTATCATGGCAAAAATTACACTTAATTATTTTTCTATTTAACAAATGATAAAAAGAATCTCTCAGAATAAGAGTTCCTACATACATGCAGAGATCCTGTTTTATCATCTAACTCCAGTGTTTGCTCTGCCCACAAGAATCTGGGGACAGAAGAAGCAAGGGCACTTTCATTGTCTCGGTGCCTCAAAAGACTCGCCCTCAGGGAATCCAGTGATTGCAAGTTCAGTCCTTTGCTTGTTGGCTACAGAAGAGAAAGATTTCCAAGAGAAATATCTCATCAGTAAGTTAGTTCAGCACAAGAAATTAAAAATCTCAAAATAACACCACAGTGTTCACTGGCATTCTTGTCACTATCATTTTCTTTTAAAAATAAAATAAAAATAAATAAGACATTAACTTTAAAAAACTGGTGTGTTGTGTTTTTTTGGTCTTTTTTTTTTCTTTTTTGTCAAGGACACCCAAAAATACTGTACCTTAGATGCTATCACACTTTGGTATGTTTTCTCAAGCCTCTGAGTTGAATCTAGTAGTAGGGATTTCATGAGCATTGACGGGGAGAGATTATCAAGAAACCGCAGGGTTGTGACCATGTACCCATCCGAAACAATGAGGTAGGGCAACCGGGAGTGAGCCTTTACAGAAAACCTCTGTCTTGAAGGGTCACTATCAGAAGCTGACGAGTCTACAGAATTATTTGAATCTTGAAATGTAAACAGCTGTGATCTAGTAAGCAAACAATAAAATTCAATAATTAGTATGTGGAAGACATTCAAGGAAATAACACTGCTAAAAACACTGCTATTAACAAAGGAAAAGTAATATAAAATAAATGCAATAATAACACAGCAAATAAATGAAAGGGGGGGAAGCATTAAACATGTCTATTGTCATAATGTAACTGATTTCCTCAGAGGCAGACCACCAGCCCTCTCTAACAACTGGGGGAATTCAAACTGCATCTGGATGACAGATCTGCATCTGTCAGGAAAAATAATGTACATAATGTAACTTGTTAAATCAGTTACAACTTGATATGGGCTAATTAATTATTGTACTGGAATGGCAGTTACTCTATTGTTTTTAATTTATATTCAAACTATTTCATACTGAAAAAATTATTTACCAAAATAGCTAGTAAACAAAAGAAGTAAGATTTGAATCTTGACCTGTTTGATTTCTAAACCAAACAGTTATCTCATCTCAAAAATAAAAGTTAAAATGTAGATAAACTCTGAAGTCACCAATTTGTCTTTCAATAACTCTTTCTCTTTGGGAAAAACAGGCAAATCCACATGACAAACCAGTTCTGAGATTAAATCATTTTACTATTTTACAAGAATAATGCCATATAATTTTCCTGTGAATCAGAAGTGACTAAATGACAGAGGATCCAAGAATTAACTTTTATATCAATGTAGACAAACTTTCTAGTGCTACTGAATATTTAAGTAACTTATACTTACATAGTCACAATGTCAAATTTTCAGCAGGATTAAGCCACAAAAAAAAATAAAACAACAGAAGAGAACTATAAATAATAAACAGATAATGAGATGACAGAGTCAAAGTAAGAATGAAACAATTTGAAAGAAAAAAATTATTTTAAAAAGAAAAAATCCATATTTACAATAAAAGTAACACCAGAAGAGAAAAGTTCTATAAATAGATTAAAACAATTCAAATGTCTCACCTACAGGTTATTAATGGATGAAGAGGAATAAATTCTGCTGGCCCAAATTCTATAGAGCAGCCACATGTAACTAATGTTAGCAATTCACCCTGGCAAGTCAATAAAACCAGGGAGCCACGTTTTAACATGCAAGTCAGAAAAAGATTATCATGTGTCCAGCTGATATCACCTACCCAGTAGGACCTAGAAAAAGCAAGAAACATGTTAAAGACAGACTCTATAAAGAGTTCTATCAAGCAGAGGGAACAGTGGGGTGTCGTGTACTACCTGTGGAGCTGTAAATGCATGTGTAAATGCGGTTCAAAATCACCAGCTAGTCCTTGCAAGAAAGATGGGGCGGTCTGCTCCCATTAAGATTTACAGTCTCAAGGGAGCTCTGGTGGCCTAGTGGCAAGAAACTGCACTGTAACCCCAGAGATATGTGGTTCGAATCCACCAGATACTCTGCTGAAGAAGGAGGGACAATCTCCTCCTGTAACAGTCAGATCTGATTTGACAGTACACGTGCACAAAAATAATAATTTAAAAAAAAATTTAAAAAGATTTACAGTCTCAGAAACCAATGGAGTGTTTGTATAGGTCAGAATCAATTCGATGATAGCGGATTTGGTATCAAGCAGAGATGATAAAGGTAAATATACAACAATTAGTGTATTCACCAATTAGAAATCTGCATGACTACATAAGCAATGCATAAAATGGAAATTTGGTTTTTAACTACCTCCATTTTAATGAGAACATATTTTTTTTTACTTCATTATTATTTGTGTGTGTGTACCATTGAACATCAAATCAGATCCAACTGGTACAGGAAATTGCTCCTCCTTCTCCAGAAGAGATCCTGGTGGATTCGAGTCAAGGGCCTTTGGGATTGCAGCGCAGCTATGAGAACACATTTTATTTCAACTGGAGCCCACAACCAACACCTACAGACAGATGTCACGTCCACTGCTATAGGTGCCACAGACCTAAAGAGCAGCAGAATCATCCTCTTCCCAGAGGTATCACTGTTACAGGTCCTCAACCAGCTGGTGATCTTCATGTATCAGAAGTGCAAAGGCATGCCTCAGCACAAAAAAAGTGATTTGATCTCCGAGTCAAACAACTGAGCTAAAAACAGCAAGACTCCTAAAAAGGAATCTTCAGGAAGGTAAAAAAAAAAAAGAAGTCAGAGTTGGATGAAACAGAAAACACTGGAAAGTTCAGAGAACAACCTAAAATAGGGCTCAGAAAAGGATGAATGAGGGCTCTAAAGGAAATCATCTTTTCTTCAGTCTCACTTATGTTCATTCTGGTAATATCTCAGTGCCTGTCCAAAGCCATGTCCTGTGAGAATGGCTCACAACAGGTCAATATCAATAAACTGAAAACGGAGAAATTATAGTATGTTAGTATTACAGTAAATACTATGTAATAATGTATTAAAGTATGTATTTTAGTATGTAGTAGTGTAGTATATTCTGTGTATATTCTCAAAAAAATCAACAAAAAAACTCATGTACACTGCTATCAATCCATACACAAAGAAGGCATGTTACCCTCTCCCACTAAGCTTAATATTTCTCTACTCAAGTGTATCTCCACTCCTTCTAGGATGATGCACACACACACAAAAATTTAAAAAGCATTTATGTTCATGTAGCTTCTGATTCATTAGCCCTTCTTTAAATACAGAAAAGTATTTTAGAGTTGACACAAAACAGCTTTCAGGCAGAAGCAATGTAACATGAATGTTTTAAGTAAGTTTTATCACCTTCTACTAAATTAGCAGAGCCTTACTTTTTTTAAAAAAATTTTTTTTAAACAAGAACATTAATTCAGGAAAACCAGAAGAAAAAGGATGAGCAATCTCCTCACGAGCTTTGTTGTTGTGAGCCTTACTTTTTTAAATTACTAGAAAATAATAATAATTACTTAGAAAGGAAGCTCTTGTGGCCTAGTGGCAAGAAGCTGCATTGCAATCCCAAAGGCATGTGGTTCGAATTCACCAGATGCTCCGCTGCAGGAGGGGCAATCTCCTCCTGTTCCAATCAGATCTTATCCAATAGTACACAACAAGAAAAACAAACAAAACAAAAAAATTCTTTCTAACTCCATTTAGAAGTAGAAGAGGATTCTTACCTGATAAGTGTAGCTGGAACAACAGGATTCTTGTTACTACATCCTTTAAGACTACCAGAGAGGGTAACAAAATTCAGTGTGTTTATAAATAATACCTGAGTTGCCTGGGGGGGGGAGGGGGGAAAGACCACAAAACTTTTTAAATTACTCATTATGCTTACTCCTCATTTATTGACTATCTCAGTTGACATATTAAATGTGCATTAACTTAGAAAAAATTCTCACGTTGTGTGTCCAATGGTACGGGTCCTGCTCAAGGTCACAGGGTACCCTCAAAACATTCTTCATGATATCCCAGTGGCTTTGGAAATGACCAGGAGGCAGAGTGGCTGAATGGCCACATTCAATTACATCTCAGTCCAGACACAGAGGGTACAGGGCAACACCAGGATAACATAAGGTTACAAGCAGGCGGGGGAGGCCAGGCAAAGGCTCAATGGTGTCAAGATCAGTGGAGATGTGGGAAGGGGACATATGGAGCTTCAGAGCAGGCGTCAACTGCTCTAAGAATGGATCTTGTAAGGATTCCCATGCATGCAGCTGTGATGGAAATGGAAGGTAACTAGGGTCTCCAAGGGGGCAGGCTACACTTTACCACCACTGCTCTCCTCAACCCCTGAAGGTGTTGTGGTGTGTACGGTGTGGTGGGGAATCACCAAGGAACTCATCAAGCCATGTGTCTATCCGAGACACACCAGAGGTGTCCAATGAGCAGTCAGTAGTTCAGGGGAGAAGACATTGGCACTGTACCCAAATCTTGCGTAATACCCATCTCACATAATGACCAAGTCTTTGAAACCTAAGCAGGTTGACAAGTGAGGAGTGGGTGTAATTATAATTCTACAGACCTAGGAATATATTCAAGAGATATCCAACGGCTTACTCGTAAGAAGCTGAAATGCCAACTCAAAAGGCCTGTGGTTAAAACCCACCAGCTGCTCCACAGGAGAAACATGGGCTATCTCCTCCCACATGATTTACAGCCTCTAAAAATCTGTGGTAGGGTTGGCTATAAGTCAGTTCTGAATGGACGGTAAACAACAACAGGGATCTCTTCTCTCAACATATCACCAGGAAGAGTTTTCCTACAATGCTCCTCCTTAAGAATAAGTTACCACTTTGTTGTCCTTGCCTCCTGTCCTTTAATACATCTTCCCTTTTGAGGGTCACATTTTAAAATCTATGATGTTATAATGGACTAGAAAACAGAAATTCAAAGCCCACATAGGAGTAATAAGAGGAAAAAACATCTTCAGTAAAATAAAAAAAAGGAAATTCCAAAATCTTCTTTCTCATAGATTACTTTCTAAAAGATTTCATTTACTGACCTTTGGGTCTTTCTGATTAAGAGTTACTCCCAAGATAAGGCCATCACTTGAAAAGGCAGAAATCAGAGCCCCCCTTGATTTCACTGATTGACATTTAGGAACCAGATCACAGAGCAAACAGTCTTGCTGAGCCCAATGAACACGATACGGCAATGATCTGAGAACGAAGTAAAATAAATATAAATAAGAAACAGTTAAAAAAAGGAATTATAAGGCTCTGATAAATTTCAAAATATGAAAGCTTATCCTAATGACCATTCAGACTTTCATGTAGAACACAAGAGGAAATACTAGTTCAAGAAGCTCAGTATCGAGTTTTGTTAGTAGTATATCCCCTAGCCAACTTTAAATATATCTGCTCTAATGTTGCTGTTGTTGTTAAGCACTGTCAAATCAAGCACAACTCTCAGCGACCCCTGAACAAAAGACCTGAACCCTGGTCTATAACTATCATTGTTTCTCTACGTTCATAGAGTTTCCAGAGGCATGTTGTTTAGAAAGTGGAGGCCACTCTTGCTTCCAAGCTTGTCTCAATCCGGGAGCTCCAAGACCATAATGGGTAACCATTATGGCATTTGACTACCAGTGGCACAGGGTTCAGCATCACAGCAACCTCAAGTTACTTCAATATAGTAAACTGACAGACCAAACACAATAACACCAGGGCTTGTTAAACACAAGCCACCCCCATCTCCACCACCAGGTCCTGTTAGACTCTGAACAAGAGGCTTACAGCCCACAGCTCACAGTTAGCTAACCGGCAAATCCCATCAGCTCACACATGATTATGAACAGAAAAAAAAAAACACAAAAAACACCAAACACAAAACCCAAGCAAATAGTCCACACTTGACCCTCATCAAAACAAGAGAACCCACCTTCCAGAGTCCAACTGTTTCACACATGAGCCTCCATACTATAGTCAGTAATACACAAACATTTTTCTGGTATTCTCTGCCTCCAACCAAGAGCCATCTGACATTAGAAATTATATCCCTTGTGCCATGGCCTCTTTTGAATCTCCTGTAGTTTGAATTTCTAATAGTTCTCTGTCCATGTACTATTCTATGTATTTTTCAATGGCTGTAAGATTTTACTTACAGGTGATATTAATAATAGCAGCTCTAATAGATACACAGCATCAGTATGGATGGTGAAGAGTTTGAGATAGTTAACAGTTTTGGTTTACTTGGCTCTACAGTCAACACTCTTGGTAACAGCAGCCAGGAAATCAGGAGATGAATTGCATTGGGCAAGTCAGCTGTGACGGACCTCTCAAAAGTACTGAAGTGCAACAACATCAGGCTGGAGACTAAGGTGCGCCTGATACAGGCTACAGTCTTTGCAATTACATGCTATGTATAAGAGAGTTGGACAGTGAATAGGGATGATAGAAAGAGAAGTGATGCCTTTGAGTTGTGGTGCTGGAGAAGAGTGTTGAATATACCATGGACTGCTAGGAGAACAAACAGGTTTGTCCTAGAGAGGGTGAAGCCAGAATGTTCCCTGGAGTCAAGGATTCTGAAGCTTCGTCTGACATACTTTGGGCATGTTGCAAGGAGGGACTGGTCCTTGGAGAAGGACATCATGTTTGGGAGAGTGGTGGGATGGCACAGGAGAGGAAGATCCTCGATGAGATGGATCAATTCTGTGAGTGGAGTGGTGGGAATGAATGTGTTTGAGATGGCTAGGTTGACACAGGATAGAACGGTGTTTAGGGCTCTTGTACACAGGATCGCTCTGAGTTGCAAATGATTCAATGGGACATAACAACAACAATAGATAAACATAATTCCTCACAATAATAAGCACTTTTTCAAGAATTAAAAAAGGTGCGAAAGAGAGAATGTTTTGGGGTGGTGTTAGTATCCTTCATCTTGACTTAATGGTGATTATGTTGCTAAGTGTTGGTCAGTCAACGAAGACTCTTAGTGGCCCTGCAAATAGCAGAAACCTTGCTCTATTTTGTACCATCTCCATGATCTCCCCATGCTAAAAGGCCATTATTGCAGTCACTATGTCAATCCATCTAGCCAAGAGGTTTTCTTTCTCTGATCCTTCACTTTTCCTAGGACAATGTCTTTTTTCCAAAGATTGGCCCCTCATGATAACACACACAACGAATGTGAGATGAAGTTTCCCTATCTTCACCTCTGAGGAGCACCCTGGTTGCATTTCCTCCAAGACAGACTTCTTTGTTCTTTTGGCAATCTATGGGATATTCAATATTCTTCACCCATACCACAACTCAAAGGCATCATTTCTTCTTCAATCCTCTCTATTCACTTGTCCATAACAGTGGTTAAACCACATTATTTATTTATCAAAATCCACCTACTTACACACTTACAATTTTTCATTTTTTCCCCCCGCATATAAAGTACTGTTAACATAAAAGAAAAGTAGAAAAATCAACACCATTTTCCTATAATCTTTCATGGCTCTGTATTACATGTTTTTGATGTATTTTTTCCCTCTATTATTGAGCTTTAAAAGCAAGTAATTTTTTAATCTAGAATACCTATGAACATAATTGGCACATTAGACTAAATTAGTTTAGTGCTTCAAATAGTCTTTGTTTTCAGCAAGTAAGGATGTGTGCCCTCTGTATAATGGCTGACAAGTTTTCCTCCATTTCCTGATGCCACATTCCCCTTCACACAATCCAGGATCTCAGATTATTTGTTCAGCAGACAGACAGTAGGTATAACAAAAAGATTTAACTCTGAAACATATACCTGCCTTGCTTTTAAACTACAAGGAAACCCCTTGTTCTATGTAAACTACTACTTGGTCTATGTACAGGTTTCACATGAGTGCTATTAAGTGTTTTGGAATTCCTATTTTTCTCACTGTTATCCACAATTTGTTGTAATTACACAGCTGAATGGAATGACAAAAAGGAGCTCTAGTGGTGGGAAGCTGTGCTGGAATCCCAAAGGCTCACAGTTCAAGGCCGCCAGCAGTTCCTTGGGAGAGAGATGAGCAATCTCCTCCCTTGCGATTAACTGCCTCTGAGGACTCTCTGGAGGATCAGCTAAGGGTTGGTTCCAATTCAATGGTTGTTGTTGTTATGTGCCATCGAGTCATCTGCAACTCATAGCGACCCTACGTACAACAGCCCTAAACCGTGCTCTATCCTGTGCCAATCTCATTGCCTCCGACACACCCATCCCGATTACCCCAGTCACTGAATCAATCCACCTCGTAAAGGGTCTTTCCCTCCTGCGTTGTCCCTCCACTCTACTCAGCATGATGTCCCTCTCTAAAGACCTGTCTCTCCTTACAAATTAGCTTAACTTTCTGGCAGTTCAGTGTCAGTGTACTACTGCAATCCTTTTGAATTATCTTCAGAAAAATCTATATGTATGTGATACAAATGATACAATTCAATAATTTCTGTGCTTATTGGATCTCTTTTCTTAGGAATGAGAAATAGATCTCTTCCAGATGGTTGATAGGTAAACATCTCCCAATTTTCTTGACATAGATGAGTGTCTCTAGCACTGTATCTGTATGGTGAAACATCACAAGTGGCATTGTCAACTCCTATAGACAGGTTTTTCACTAATGCCTTTGATGCGGCTTGAATTTCTTCCATCCATACCATCAATTCAGGTCCTCATCTTCAATACTTTCAGAAATGTTTGAAATGCCACAACTCATCTGTGTTGTATTTTGTAAACACATGGAATAGTTGATGGACTCAGAAGAGGAGTAGAACTAGGGATCTCACTACTGATGTCAGATGGATCTTAGATGAAAAGTGAGAATACCAGAAAGATTTTTACTTATGCTGTACTGAGACTATGCAAAGGTATTCTGACTCTATGGCTTACAACAGATTATAGATAACAATGAGAAGAATGGGAATCCTAGTAATTGTGCTCATGTGAAACATACACATAGACTAAGAAGTTGTTGGCTGAACAGAACAAGGGAACACTACATGGTCTAAAATGAAGAAAGATATGTGTCACGGTTGTATCCTCTCTCCACGTATGTTCAATCTACATGCTGAGCATATCATTCAAGAAGCTGATGGGTGGGGAGGTGGTGGTGAGGCAAATTGGAAGAATCTGTTCTAGAAAACAATGTACAGAATTTTCAAAATAAATTAGTATAATAATTAAAAAAATTAAAATAAAAATTTTTTTTAAAGGACTGAAAATAAATTTTAAAAAAAAAAGCTGGACTATATTAAGAATGTGGAAGCAGGATTAGAGGAAGAATCATTATGTATATTACACACCTTGGCTTCCTGAAAGTGAGAGGACTTTGACACAGTTGATGCCTAAGATTTAAGACAATAAATAGCCTTCAATATGGATTACATATCAACATCAAGAAAACAAAAATTCCTCATCACTGGACAAACAGGCATCATGATAGATGGAGAAAAGATTGAAGTTGTCAACGAATTAATTTTACTTGGATCCACAATCAATATCCATGCTAATAGCAGTCAAGAAATAAAAAACCACAGGTTACACTGGGCAAATCTGCTACTAAGGACCTCTGACTCAAGAGCAGCTAACAACAACAACAAAATGCTGGAAGCTATGCCAGTGTTAGTTCAAATCTTTCACACAATAGCCTGCTTTATAAGTTATATGTTGTCACTTCTAAGGAGAGAAACAAAACCAAAAGACAAAAAAGATTTTCCAAACTAAACATTTTACAACAAAGGCTAACTAGAGCAATGCGTGTAGGAAGAAAGAATCTGTAAAGCTTTAGTAGCTGAAACGGTCATTAAGAATCTGTTGAGTTTCTGTAAGTCAAAAGGTGTTTTCAAAAAGGATGGAAGGTGAAATGGATAGGAACATTTCCCTCACCTTATAGGTGTAAGTACATTCTCATGCCACCGAATTGCCAGAAACGTTAACTTGAGGCATTCTCCAGAATAAAAAGCAAATGAGCACAAGCAGCAATCTCCAAGTAACTTTAGACAAAGAGAAGACATGTCAGTTTACAATTAATCTGAAAATAAAATGAGATACAGAACACATATACCTGCAGTTCTCTTCATAAATAAAAATATAAATATTGTGTTCCTGCTTATATTTTAAACTCAAAACTATTTCTTTTTGTGAGCTAGAGTCATGCTCAAAATGAGAAATCAGGTTGTATTTTAGTCCACTCTAGAAATACTGCAATTCATTGTGAATATATCTGGAAAATTTTTGTTGCAATCAGAGCAGCATCCTTGGGTGAGAGGGATGAAGTAATGGTTAAAGAAAAGCAACAAAACTTCAAAATAGAAATCTGAAAAGTAGTGGACTAAGTAATAATATCTTGGTCCATCTATACAGAGTACCAGGTATAGAGAGTATTAGGTAGCTATTTAAAATATTTCTAATGACTGAATTAAGTTATTCCCTGGAAATTAAATTACTTCCTTAATGGCACCAATTTTAGCTTGTTAAAAGTTGTATTTTAAAAGCTCTCAGAACCCTCACTGCTATCAAGTTAGCATCAACTCATAGCTGCCTGTCCAGTGGAATTTCAGAGGCTATAAAAATGCATGTGAGGAAGGTGCCCATTTTTCTTTCAAGGAGCCACTGGTGGGTTTAAATCACCAGAGGAGCGCCACCTTTGAACCAGTATTCCCATTCTCTATCACGAGGCCATCAGAGTTGCCTAATTTTAAGAGCAGGTTTTAGCTTCAAATTACTTTTAGTAAACTTTTTTTAGAATGTAACTAAATATAAAAATATCTTTTTCATACAACAATTTCCGTTACTGTGACAATTAATGATGTCTAGAAACAGAAAGCTGTGCATTAAACAATGTGCTAAGTATATTCATAGTGTCTTCTGTTGTCAAAGACACTTCTAGAAATCACAACTCCTACATCACTGTCTGATTTTAATTTTACCTCATTTTTTATAAACATAGCATGTACGACAGCTTCTTTGTCTTCAGCAGAAGGCAAGAGAATTGTTTCTTCAGGTCTGATCTGGGACCACTGACCCACCAGGGAAGGGCTTTTAGAAGAGAGAACGTTCTGAGACTCCAAATACTCCCAAAGAAATATGCATCCTGATGATGTTGTAAGCAGAACTCTCTTACCATTTCCAGATACATATACAGACAGTCTCAATGAGCTCGCTTAAAAAAAAAAAAAGTAATTAAATTTTTGATGTCTGAGTTCTCCCCAAAGAAGCACATAATTTATCTATTCTAGCTCATGCTGTGTACCATGGAGTCAGAAACAACTCATAGCTGACCCTCCAGTGGGTTTTAAGAGGCAGTAAATCATACAGGAGAAGACTGCCCATCCTTCTCTTATGGAACAGATGGGAGATTTGAATTATATGCCTTTGGGATTGCATCGTGGCTTCTTACCACTAGGTCACTAGAGCTGTCTAGATTTTAAGAAATATAAATAATGTTAACTATTTAGGAGGTTAAAACTAAGCTGATCGTAAATCATGCTGAAGCTATGTGTGCAGGACACAGCTACTTCTTAGGGTTTTCAAGGCTATGACCTTTCAGAAGTAAACTGCCAAACCTGTCCTCTAACATGCCTCTGGGTAAATTCAAACTCCCAAAATCTAGGCCAGTATGCAAATGTTTAACTGTCTGAATCACTCTAAGATTCCTTAACGCAAAGGTGCCAATAATAAATTAAAAGAACAAATAGTTAATATTTAAGAAGTATTTTATAAGTTATATTCAGAACTCATTGTTAAACAGATACACAGGCATATCAGATGTATCTGATTAGCACACATACATATCATCAGATAAAATATGCACACCTATAAAGAACGCATGTATGTAAATAGGTACATGTATATTTACACATACACATCTACAAAACATATTCATATGGTTGTATACCATCCAGTTGGCTCACAGCTGACCCTGCAGCAGGTGTTCAGAGGCAGTTAATTGTATGGAAGGAGACTGATAATCTTTCTCTCATAGAGCAGCTGGTGGATCCGAATCGCTTGCCTTTCAGTTAGCAGCACCAACTCCTTACCACTAAGCTATCAGAGCTCCCTCTATATTTTGTTGTTTGTTGTTATTTACCACAGAGTCAGAACTGACCCACAGCTGACCCTCAGGTGGGTTTTCAGAGGCAGTTAATTGCATGGAAGGAGACTACAGATCATTCTCCTGCAGAGCAGCTGGTGGTCTCAAACGGCATGCCTTTGGGATTACAGTGCAGTTCTTGCCAGTAGGCCACCAGCGCTCCCTATATTTATATTAGATATTTATTTATTTTTTTTTTTATTTGTGTGTGTGTACCATCAAATCGGATCTGACTGGTACAGGAGGAGATTGTTCCTCCTTCTCCAGCAGAGCATCTGGTGGATTTGAACTGTGCACCTCTGGGATTGCAGTGCAGCTTCTTGCCACTAAGCCACCAGAGCTCGCCTAGAGATTTTTTTTCCCAATACCAGAAAAATGTTTCCTTCCTCTCCTCTTTTCATCACATAAAACCAAATTAAACCAATAAAAAAACTCCCGCAACAATGAATGACTGAAAATCCTAAGTCTCTGTAAACTTTCATTAAAATTAAAAAAAAAATTTTAAAAAAATCCCACCTGCTGCAGTTTTAATAATTTCCTTGGGCTCTTCAGCTGCCTGTATAGTTTTTAAACAATCTTTATCTTTGTTCCAAAGAAAAAGTTCTCCTGTAGTGAGTACTCCAGCCAGCCAAGCATCTGTTTCCCCCCCCCAAAAAAACACAATATTCAATGTAATACCTCCATGAATGTATAACCTGGCTTATATACAAAGCACAGCTAATTAAACGTCTATAAACATCAGTGCTACTTAACCATTACTAGATGTTGTAAGGATAATAACATCCTTCAGAAAGGGCTGCAGAACTGGGATCTTCTTCTTTGTCCTTCCTGATAGTAAATTTATTTCATTTATGAATTTATCATCCAAAAGAAAAACAGCTTCATTTTCCTGCAAAAAGAAATATGTGAAGGATTTAATAAATATTAAAATTTTTTTACAAAAAAAGTGAACTGGAGGAGGGGGGAGGGAGAGCAAAGGAGTAAAATGTGAAACAATGATTGAATGAAAATCTAACTTGTCTGTAAATGTTCATTAAAATCAGAATTAAAATAAAATTTTAATTTTTTAAAAAAAGAGGTATCAGAAGACAATTTCACTCATCCTTTAAATAAATTTATCCTTGAAAGCTAAACAAAGTGCCAATATTTAAGAGATATTTACATCAATAAGGAAACCTGGCAGTGGGTAACATATTAGGCTGGTAAGTGCAAGGTCAAACCCATGGGAGAAGGTGAGACATTCTTCCATAAATACTGACTGCTCTGGAAACCAAATGGAGGGTAGACATGAATCAGAATTGACTCAACAGTGTGGACTGGGTTGTTTTATTTTGGTTTTATGTATACATTTGTACCACAAATCATAAACTCACATTAAAGTTGCCACAAATCATAAACTCATATTAGAGTTGATACCTCAATCTCTTTAGAAATGCTTTTTATTTAAAAAATATCTCTTACTGGATTGACCAGGAAACTCTGATGGCCCAGTGAGGAAAGACGTGCTACCAACACAAAGGCCCACGGTTTGAATCCATGAGGTGCTGCACAGGAAAAAGATGAGCAATGCCCTCCCATGAAATTTGCAGTGTCTGAAAACCCAACAGAGGGTCAGCTATGAGTCTGCTCTGACTCAGCAAATAACAACTTTAGATTGGCTGGCCAAAATGATGATTACATTTTCATTTTGTTGAGGTTTAAAATTACAGGAATGTCTTCAAATTCTACTAGTCAAAGCTAGGTCATCTGCTCTTACCAATTTTAGCAGTATGTCCATGCCCACACAGCAAGTTTAAAATTCTCTTTTTCTCATTGTCATTGAAAGTAAAAACCAACTCACAGCTGACCCTGCAGAGGTGCTGAAAATCACACAGGAGATTGATTGTCCAGCATTCTCCCACAGTTTTAAATTATATACTTAAAACTCATTGCCATTCAGTTGGAACCTAATGATAGCTGACCCTCTAGCATGTTTTCAGAAAGCTGTGAACTGCACAGATGGCTCATCTTTTTCGTGAGGAGCTGGTGGATTCAACTCAACAAAGAGGAGCCACTTTTGGGTTAGCTATGCAAGTCACTATGGACACCACCACAAGAGCTTCCTTTATAGTGAGCACAATTGATGTTATGTCTCCTGAAACTGATTACAACTCACAGTAACCTTGCATATAACAGGAGGAAACCTTGCTGGATCTTAATCCATTCTCACAGTCTCCCCAGTACTTAAGTCCATTATTGCAGTTACTGGGTCAATTCATCTAGTTGGGGATCTTCCTCTCTTTCACTGACCTTTCTATGTATTTTTCCAAGGACTGGTCCCTCCTGACAGTGTGCCCCATGTACGTGTTTCACCACCTTTGTTTCTAAGGACCAATCCGGTTGTACATCTTCCAAAACAGATATATTTTGGTATACTACTAAAACAATTTGCTCCATAAACTTTCACTTAAATTATAATAAAAAAGATTGAAGAAGAAAAAAAAGATATTGATTCTGAGGTTCATAAACTTGATTCTGATCATTTTTCAACATCCAGGTAAACTATGTTGCTAAATGCAATTTCTCCAAACTCAGCTCAGACCTACAGAATCAGACATTGTGGGAATACAGTCCAACTGCCTGTGTTCAGAGGACTCACATATATCTAAAAGTTGACAACCATTAAGAGAAGTAAATTAATGGTGTCAGATCTTACAGGATGCTTAACATTACTTCTTTCTAATTTTCATAATTCTTTAATTTTAATAATCTCAGAGGATGGGAAAGTGTGCTGTCAGGGACCTCTCTACAGTACTGAGGAGCAATGGTGTCAGTAGGGAGACAAAGGTGTGCCTGATCCAGACCATACATAGTCTTCGCAATTACTTGCTGTGTCAGAAAGCTGAACAGTGACTAGCGATGATAAAACGAAAATTGATGCTTTCGAGCTGTGGTGCTCGAGAAGAGTTTTGAATATATCATGGACTGCCAGGAGAACAAACAGGTTCGTCCTAGAGAGGGTGAAACCAGGCTGCTCCTTGAAAGCAAAGATTCTAAAGCTTTGTCAGACATACTATGGTATGTTACAAGGATAGTCCCTTGGAGAGGGATATCATGTGTGGAAGGGTGGAGTGACAGAAGAGACGAAGACCCTCGATGAGATAAATTGATTCAGTGACCAGGGTAAGGAGGGTAGATGTGTCATAGACAATAAGATTGGCACAGGATAGAGCAGGGTTTAGGGCTATTGTATTTAGGGTTGCTATTAATCATAAGCAACTCAACAGCATATAACAACAGCAACAACAAGGATCTCAGAGACATGAACATTTTCCTTAATATGAGTTATCTATCATATATATTTTAAACACTATTCCTAGACTGTTATTATTTTAGGATTATTATTTCCATTCTAGTTCTAAGGACTCTTAATAATGCACGCACATGCACACACACAGAGAAACACAGAAACCACAATGGGAGTAAACACTCAACTGACTGTTCTGGAAGAGGACGTTTAAGAGATTAAATAGTCTCTTTTGATACATACCATATCAATCTATTTAAAACGAAAATAGAAAAAAAAAATTGAAAGTTAAACTCTTTTAGACGGACCACTTGACTTTCTGGGAAAATTAACACTCTCTTTACGATAAAAAATAAAACACATACAAAAACCCTGTGCTGTAAGCAGGCGAGTCTTCTGAAGATGTTTTCTTTCTTTAAGGTATTTAAGAAATAAGGCCTACATTACTCTACATGCAAAACACACATTTAACACATATTTAAACTAGTATAAAATAAAATCCTACCTGTCCCAACCAAGAGATTCGTGGCCAGGGTTTCTTCTGCTTTATACTCGTTGATGTCAAAACTTCTAGTCTTATCTCCATGCTTATCAAGATTCTGAATAATCAACTGAGTAAATAACAATAAAAAAATGCTGTTGTTAATAATAATAATTAACAGCCCATAATACTGAGGATCTTAATTTCCAAGTTTTATAACTTTATACTCCATGACTTTTAGGCTAACTTTTTTTTTCAAGTAAGAAAACAACAACGTGAATAGCTGGGCAAAATGTACTTCCTTTCCTGATAAGTTATTTCTTAAAATATGAATATAAGTATGAACTAGTTAAGGATCTTGACAATAACGTTTCTATGTGGTTTTTAATTTCTCAGTGCAGTGATTCACATTTTCTAAAGATGGAAATAATTTCTTTCCCAAATAGGGCTACATCATCATCATCACATAATTCATATGCTCGCACAGTGTGATTTTATCATTGACACTCATCTCAATCCTGTTCCAGTCACCCTGCCTCTGACACATCCATCCCAATTACCCCAGTCACTGAATCAATCCACCTGATAGAGGGTCTTCCCCTCCTACGCCATCCCTCCACCCTCCCAAGCATGATGCCCTTCTCCAAGGACCTGTCCCTCCTTACAACATGTCCAAAGTATGTCAGACGAAGCCCCAGAATCCTTGCCTCCAAAGAGCAGCCTGGTTTAACCCTCTCAAGAATGAATCTGTTTTACTGGCAGTCCATGGAACATTCACTCTTCTCCAGCAACACAGCTCAAAGGCATCAATTCTCCTTCTATCCTCCTTAGTCACTGTCCAACTCTCTGATGCATAACAAGTGATTGCAAAGACCATAGCCTGTATCAGATGCACCTTAGTCTCCAGAGTGGCACCATTGCTCTTCAGTACCCTGGAGAGGTCCCTAACAGCAGACTCTCCCATCGCAATACATTTGATTTCCCGGCTGCTGGTGCCAAGAGTGTTGACTGTGGAGCCGAGCAAACTCAAGTTGTTAACAATCTCAATCTCTTCACCGTCCATCCTGATGCTGCCAAGTGGTCCAGTGGTGAGAATCGCACAGGCTAGAGCAGGGTTTAGGGCTGTTGTACATAGGGTTGCTATGAGTCGCAAGCCACTAGACAGCACATAACAACAACAACTCATCTCAATGAGAGATGTGGCTTATGTCTCCTCCCTTTAAACTGCACAAGATTCTGTAACTAAAAAGAATGAAAAACATGCAAGAAATTCTACAGGATACTTCAATAAATATGTCATTTTATAAGAAAATTTGGAGAGAGGAATGTTGAATGTTAAGAGACATAACAACCAAACTCAGGAAATGCAAGATAAGACAACTTTTAGACATAAATTAGAATAAACTAGTTGTGAAAAGGTATTCAACACAAATGCCCAGGAATCTCAAACCTACTTATGAAAAGGCAAGCAGGGACGCGAACAGAAGCGTGAACTGCTCACCACAACACCTTCCAGAACAGCAAAAAGATGGAAAAGCAGAAATGTCCATCTAGAGATGAATGGATAAAGTAAGTTCCATCTGTACACATACTGGCATATTACTACCCAGTCATAAAAGAAATGCTGTCCAGATGAATAGCACAACATGGATGAATTTTTAAAATATTTGACTGAGTGAAGATAGCCAATCACTAAATGAGCAGACACTATATGATTTCACTTATATGAAATAAGTAAAGTCATAGAAAAAGAAAAGATTATAAGTGACTATGACAAGAAAAATCAATGCCTTTGATTTGTGGTATTTGAGAAGAGTACTGAATACACTATGCATTACCAAAACAACAAACAAGTCTGTGGTGGAGGAAGTGTAAATTTCACCGCACATATACTATAAGATGAATGAAGCAGCTCTTCGGAAAAAGTCATCACGCTAGGAAAGGTGTAGGTTCAGAGAAAGAGAAGACGGACCCTCAACAAGATGGACTGACAAAGTGACCATAAATGATGGGCTCAAGTATAATAAAGTTGGTACTGTTCATAGGGTCGTTATGAGTCATAGTCTACTAGACAACACCAAACATCATTACATGTAGTTACAAAGAATATTAGGGAGTTCTGGTCCCTTAGGAGTAAGGAGTTGTGCTGTTGACACAAAGGTATATGGTTCAAATCCACTAGCTACTCTATGGGAAAGATGGGCAATCTCCTCCCTTATGATTTACTGCCTCTCAAACCCCCCCTTAAGGGTCAGCCATGAGTTGGTTCCAACTTAACAGCTCAAAATAATTTATTATATTTATAATATATAATATATTACTGAGATGCCTGAAAAAACCTGGAATATAGACTATACATAAAGCTAATTTCAATATTAATTTCGGTTTGATAACTATATATAGTACATGATACACAAGCTACTTCCAGATAACTCTAAGAATCTATTTCTGTGTATGAGTGCATAAAAAGGAGAATATATTTCTGTGTATGAGTACATAAAGAAAAGGATAAACAAAACAAAACACACAAGGTCAATATGGACAAAACTTAGTCATTCTTTAGAGGATTCCTTAGATTATTCCTGAGAATCTGTAAAACTAATTAATTCAAGGCTTGAAAAAGATAAGCAGGGGCAACTGAACATGGTCGGACACCAGATGACATAAAGAAATCAATGCTAACTTTTGTGTTGTGTGTAATTCTATTATGGTTATTTCAAAAACGTAAAGTCTTTGTATTCCAAGCGACGACAAATGTATACTTAATACTCTAAAAATTAAATAAGAACAAGGATTTGTTTTTAAATACTGTCTATGAACACTAAACTTTTTAGTTAAACTCTAAAAGCTATAGAGATAACGAATCATCTTTTTTTAATTAAATTTTATTAGTTTTAATGAACATTTACAGAGATTTTGGGTTTTCATTCATTCATTGTTGCAGTTTTCTCCACCCTCATCCCCAGTTTGTT